CCACATCGAAAAATGTTTCAAAGATCTTTCACTCGCACCAGTTATTATAGTTGATTAGATAGATCATTACTCTGGAAAATTGTAAACGCTATGCTAAAATTGAGATAGATGATATGAGTATCCCATTAATCGAAGAAGATAGCAGACCTACAGGCAACTCTTCGAGCCATAAAGCCAGCTCCACTAAAAATAACTTATCTATTGCAGAGCAGGCTATATTGTGAAACAATAGCACTTACGTGCCTAGGCGATTCTCCGAATCATGGAACTTTGTCCCTAAATTAACAGAATTTAAATCTGGTCTAGCTCAAGAGAAGGTTATAAATATAATTAAAAAATTCTCTTAAATACCAAAGATAGACTTGAGGGTCATTGTTTTGTAATAATAAGTAACGAAAGAAATGTCATAGAATATTTCACAACAAATCTGAAACAGAGACTGATTCATCCAGCTTCGATTCAGAATCCACAGATTCAGACTGGTATAATTTCGACCCAATAAAACTCTGAAAGAAGAGGCAGAGCCTCAAATATCCGATTCATTGTGTTCATGTTAAAAAGAAAAAGGTTATTTCTCCTATCGAAAACATTGTAAAAATAAGCATACCAACTAGGGATGGGTTTGGTCGGTTAGGTCAGTTATTGGTCAGCTATTATCAACTATCGACTAATAGTCGACTATAGTTGACTATAACCGGTTATTTAAAAACATAAACAGATCGACATGGATCAGCCCAAAAATATTAAAAACTTAAACAGATCGACATGAATCAGCCCGAAAATACGGAAGATCCCGTAAACATGATATTTAATTGGTCTGATATCACGTATTGGCTAGCCAGTCAGCTAAACCGCTATAGTTGACTATTATTAACTACGGCTATAGTCGGTTGGCTAGCCGACTACAAGCCGACCGAACCCATCCCTAATACTAACTATATCCACATTCCAGAGTAATGATCTATCTAATCAACTATAATAACTGGTGCGAGTGAAAGATCTTTGAAACATTTTTCGATGTGG